ATGACGGCATCAATGTTTTGGGCCAAGGGAATATGAGCCACGCCATCCAAGCCCGCGCGCGCGCGGCCTTGCTGATTCACCATGGTCACAAGATGCTGTGCCACAAGGCAGCCAGAGAAGGAAACTGGGCGAGGTCCAAGCACGACGCGATTGAGATCGTGAACATGTTCAACGCGTCCCAGTTTTTGAAGAACGGTGCGCATCTGAAGAGGGCTTGCTTTTGGGCAATTCGTTCAGCGCCCCCGCCCGAGCTTGCTCGCGAGTACTGCGTTTCGCCCGAGATGGAGTCTGTCACGGGGCGGTTTCCGCATAAGTCGACTCTGTCGCGGATGAGGGGAAGAGTCGACGCGGCCTGGATGTTCGCAGCGCGGGATCTATTCCAGAACGTGTTTGACGTGGGCGGCGTCGTCGCGATGCCGATCCCAGACTCGAGCCCCCAAGGGGGCAGGGGCTACGAAAACACAGTTCTGACCATCATCAGCCGCCAGAACCTCGTTGCATTGCACGGGCTTTCAAGCGACCTGGATCGCCGCAACAACGCCATGACTGTAAGGCAGCGCGCCGCCGACTGGACATCCGAAGCGCTCATCATGAAGAAGATCGCGGAGAAGATCATGAGGCACGTCGCCCCAGCAGTGCAGCTGGGCTTTGGGCGGGCGAATCTTTCGGCGAAGTTCCGCGCGATCATGCGCCAGTTGTTCTTGCTCAGCCCCTCCGTCGACCAGTTCTGCAAGCTTATCGGCTATGTCCCCGTCTGGCTGTCGGATCAGGGCGCGGAAAGCGGCTTGGCGCGCATCGAGCCCATCGCCGTGCAGGACGTGCTGGAGTTCACGAGGGAATGCGAAGTGAACGACGACGAGGTGCCGCCGACCTTGGTCCTAACTAGCTTGAAGCCCGAAATCAGTGTTCCCGGAAGTTCCAGGGGTCTCGGTCCTGGGTCTTGGGTCAGGGGTCGGGGAATGGGCTTCGGGCAATAGCTGGGGCCGACGGTCAGCGGAAGGTTGACTTCGCTCAGCCTGCAGCAGCGCCGAACAGGGGTTATATCAATTTGACCTGGAGTCCTGGGGCCTGGGGTTCGACGGGGCACTGCAACTGCGCCACAGCGCGGGCAATCACCTGGAGGACGTGGTGCCAGACTACAAAGACGCTGTCTGGAGGCTCAGCAAGGTGTCGAAGCTTCTGGGCGATCCTGAATCGGAAGAACGGTTGGAGGCGACATGCTTCTCATCTTCGCCGGCACTGAAAGCGTTACTCGAGCCCATCAAGAAATTCAAAGGACATCGTCATGTCGAGCGATGGGGCACAGTTGCCAACACTCTGTTTAATATTACTGGTAACGTCGGGGCAGCCTTACGGCATGCGTGGGATGCTTCCAAGTACACGCATGGTAAAATAACGGTAAAGAGGAAGTGTTTAACGTCAAGTTGGGAGTTCTGATGATACAATCAACACGCCATACTGGCGGGCCTACTGGGGCATGCTTGAGGAGATCGCGCAGGCGCTGTTCGATGTTATCAGGTGGTGTGAATCGTGCTCTTGCCATGTCGACTTGCTCGAACGCCTTCGAGGCCAAGAGTGCGCATCAAACCTTACAGAGGAACAGATCAATAATCAAGACCATAGGAGAACATACTTCAAAATGCCAACTGAGAGGCATGCGATGCCAACGTGTGCGCGGGCATGCTGCTCGACTACGTGAAGAACTGTCTGCGCTACCACATTGCAGACTTCGTCAGCAACATCCCATCGGACGTTTCGAGGGGAGACGCGAAGCGCATCCTCGATCATATGGAGAGCGGAAGGATCCAGATTGTCGCATATTAAGCGATCAAGCTGGTACACTGCGATTCGTCTGCACACGGCCCCATTGGAATGGCATGCGGCAACCATCAAAGGGCACGAGAATGTTGGCTCAGAGTTCTTGGCGATTATGATTGTCATCCCGTTGCTAATCATCTCGCGAGTCACCCGACACTCAGAGCGGAAGTGGACGAGTGGGTAGACGTGGGATTCGATCCAGAAAGCGATCCAACAGACGACAAGCCCGGGCTTCGTCTTTGCTTGGCGACCTTGCGTTTTGCGAACAGCGCAGAGAGTGTGGTTGAGGTTGCCCATGCTCTGATACATCATGAAGTTTCGTGGGCCCGAAATCACGGACGTGCTTTGGTCAGGTTGGCTAACAGGATGTCCAACCTCAGCCTGTACATGACCGCAAGCATGGGCACGTTCTGGCGCTTTACTCAAGTGGTTGCTAAGGTATCTTCTGGCAAGGCCGCTGTGAAGCTATTGGGGCTCGAGCGCCATCCAGAGGCAAAGCAGTTGGAGACGGTGCATTCCTCAGACAAGCTGTTCTGGGATGTGATCTACCACGCAGACCGCTGCACCAAGTACAGGATGCCATTGCCTAAGATCCAGGTTGAGCAAGTCGAGGCTGTTGAGCTCAATGGCAAGGTCCCTCTGATCGACGCGGCTGACGCCGCGTGCAAGCGGGCCGCCTTCGTGAGCCACGTGATCGAGAAGCTGTCTGCAGATGGCACAATGCATCGCGTGCCCATGCAGCTCACCGCGCTCATCCCTTTGAGGAAACTTCTCCAAGTACGACATGCAGTACCTGAGACATCAGACGATTGTGAGCACGGTTGGGGTATCTCTGAAGTTTTGCCAGGGAGATATCATTCCTGATGATGCCTTCGCTGAGCAGGAATGGAAGAGTTTGCAGAGTACTTACTCGTCAAGGTGGTAATCGGACATTATTCGCACGCCAAGGCCGAAGGTACCAGGCCAACCAAAGCTCACTGGCGTCAAAACGTTGGTCTGACACAAGCTATTACGGTATGACGAAGAGGCTCGAGAAAGCTTGGTGAGCGCAAATGCTCTTGGAAATGCTATCGACGACAGTGCTACACCATACACCATACACCCAGCCATGCTGCCACCAGAAATCTTATCGAAGGTACGTAAGTGGAGCCCTACCAGCACTAGCATAACAGCAGGTCTCCGCCAGCCTTCCAAGGCGCATATTCCGAAAGAGCAACTGTATTGCCTTGATGAGGTTGTCAGGGGCATCTTGAGGTACCCGGACGGTGCGCCGCGCGACGCCATCTTGCCGACACTCCCTCAACCCACGCATCGAGATGTTCGTGGACGCGTTCTTCGAGCTAGGCTTCTTGGACGGCCCGCCGTATAAGTTCACGATCCAAGGGAAGGCAGTTCTGGAGATCGGCATATCGCTGGGGAGACCCACGTACCTGCTTCAGCGCTTCGATGCGTTCGTCGGCTGATACATCAACAAGGCGACCTTGGCAGAGTTGATCCTGAGGATGGAGCACGACGGCTGGCAGCACGCCAACCTATCGACATCGAGGAATGCGTTGAGCGAGAAACGTGCCCGGCCAATGATTCGGCACTGATGGGGTGCTATCCGGGGGGGGGGCGCCCAGGGGCCCCCTGGCCCAAACTATGGCACAATGGTGCACTTACTGAGACACTGGACAATGTGGTGGCCCGCGATGTGTCCGGCGCCATCTTTGGCGCAATGTTAATTACACCCAGTGCGGCAATTTTTCGTGATGCTTGGCGCCAGTGTTGGTGCCATGGTGCACTTACAGGCATCGGCCGATTTGGTGGCTCGCGGGGCCCTTGGTGCAACCTATGGCGTGCCCGTTGGCATCTGCCGATTTGGCCCGCGGGGTGCTTGGCATAACCTATGACGCAAGTCAGTCGACTGTGGTAGCCTACGAACTCATGGCTCGCAGGGTGCTAACCGCTGGCGCAAACCACGGCGCAACGGTGTACCCGCTGAGGCAACGCATGATTTGGTGGCCCGCGTGGCGCTTGGCGCAACTTGTGGCGCAAACTATGACCCATTGCTGATTAGGGTTTCGTGACCGAGTGTCTTTGTTCGCTCAAGGACTGGCGTTCCCCCTTGCGCAGGCCGCTTTCCGTCCCCAGCGAGCGGTGGAATGGCCGAAAAGGTACATTTTGGCCAGGTTCCAATCGTTCGTCGCACCTTTCATGATGCCCACAGCGTCCGCATACTGCACGGTCTGATTATGTTTTGGTGTTGGCGATGCAGCCGCGCCAGGGGTGTAAATTTACATCAGGACAGGCATGGTTGGCCTTGTCGGCGTCTGCGATGGTCGTTGCACGCCGTCCAGCCGCGCTGTTTTGAACCAGCTGCGCGGCGCCACCCCCCCCCTTCCCGAAAGCGGGCCAGAGTTGGCCAGATAGCACGTGTGGGTGGTATTTGAAAAAGTAAGTTCCATGTGCAGCCATGATTGAAATAACAGGTGCCAGGATGCGGTGCAACACCGTTGTGTTGTTAACGCGTTGTGTGAAAAAGGCGCAGAAAAGGGGCATCCTCCTCCTTCTCCTATTATCCCTCCCACTCTTCCTCCTTCCCCTGCTCCTCTTCCTCCTCCTCCTCCTCCTTCTCCTCCTCCTCTCCTCGTCAACATCATCATCATCATCATCATCATCATCATCATCAGTATCATCGTCATCGTCATCGTCGCCGTCATCATCGTCATCGTCATCACCACCAGTATCATTATCATGTTCATCATCATCATCGTCATCAGAATCAGCAGCATCAGCATCAGCATCATCATCAGCATCATCATTATCATTATCATCATCGTGGTCGTCAAGGTCAGCAGCAACAGCAGCACAAGCAGCATCAGCATCACCACCACCATCATCATCATCAGCATCAGCAGCATCAGCATCGTCATCATCATCATCATCATCATCATCATCATCATCATCATCATCATCATCATCATCATCATCATTATCAGCATCATAATCAGCATCAGCAGCATCAGCATCATCAGCAGCATCATCATCACCACCACCATCATCATCATCATCACCATCATCACCATCATCACAATCATCTTGTACCCCTCCTCCCCCCCTTCCTCCCTAGGGGAAGGGCCCTCACCCTCCTTCCTCATCTTCTTCCTGTTGCCCAGAGCGCCCCCGCGTGGCCGGACGAGGCCATGGCAAACGTCGCTTCCGACGGCTGCGCCGGCGAGGGAGTCACCACCACCCCGCTGGCGGGGCGGGGCCGGGCGTAGACGCCCCCTTGGGCGGCTCGCAGGGTGATCGGCGACGACGACGACGACGACGACGGTCGGGACGATCGAAGTGGGTATGGAAAGAGTGGGCACAAAGACGGGCAGCAGTGCCTGTTCATTTTGGATTGGACTCGCTATCGGTCAAGCCGCGGACAGGTCCAATTTGAGACAAAAGGCCGCCTGCCCAATAGCGACCGCTGTCGGTGTTGGACAACATTTGTTGTTGGGCATCGTACCTATTTTTTTCCTGTACCCATTTCGGGCGTCAAAAGCAGAATGATTGCCGAAGTGTGAGGACCGAAGTCCAAGGATCTAGGATCGAGGTTTGTGGGCGGTGAGTTGGGCCCTCTTCAGGCATCGAGGGGGACTCTGGGAACCTCCGTGGACATCCGGGGGGTCTTAGAGACCCTCAGATACCTTTTTGGGGGAGTTGTGGCAGGAGGCGGAGATGATCAGGAGAGGCTTGTCCTCCTCCTCCTCCTCCTCCTCCTCCTCCTCCTCCTCCTTCTCCTCCTCCTCCTCCTCGTCCTCCTCCTGCTACTCTTCCTCCTCCTCCCTCTCCTCCGTAGCCATTTTGGCTCAAGCCATTTTGGCTCAAGCCGTATCGGCTCAGGGTGGTCTGCGCGACCCGCTCGGCCAGGCCCCCCCCGACCCGCTCCTCGGGTTTTCCTGCTCCCGCTCCCTCGGGCCGGGCGCGCCCCGGCCGTCGGCCGCCCGCCCTCTGTCCCTCCCACTCCAGCCATGGCTGAGGCCGCACTGATCGGCCTGCCTGCACTGCCTGGACAGACTCCCCCTCTTGCCCCTGCGGGGGCCGTGGGAGGGAGTGTGCCGCCGCCCGCGCCCGAGGTACAGTCGGAGGTGTCCGTGCAGATCAGCGCCTTGACGGCGATTGTGAAAGAGGGTTTCACTTCGCACACAGCAGAGTTTGAGTTGTTTCGCCAGCAGATGACAGTGATGGGGACCAACTTCGATCGAATGCAGGACGAGTTCGCGGAGATGAATCGTCGCTCGGAGGCTCGTTGGGCTGAGATAAAGAAATCACAGGACGCAGCGATCCACCAAGTCTCTGTTGACACAGATGCGAAATTGGCGCAAGTAGTGGCAAATATCGACGCTCAGATGCATGAGTTACAGCAGAAGCTCTCGGCAGGTTCGTCGACTCGTGCCGATTCGGAGTTCGAACTCGTGGGAGGTGATGGGGAAGGAGGGCGTCGGACGAGGTCGAGGACGTCGGGCCCCGACCAAGCCAGCGCTACTCGTCTCATTGTTCTAGGTTTTGAGAAACCCCTGCTGGATGCGTCTCTCAAGGAAGCGGTGGCCGCGATTGTCGCCGCGTGTAGTCCAGCTGGTGAAGGACCGATCGTCCGAGCATACTCCCTCGCGCGGAAGGTGATCCTTGACTTCCCCAGTACTCTGTCGTGCACGGCGTTCTGCGGCAAGAGCCAGACCATTGGTAAGACTGCATGCCAGAACCCGATTGATAACCAGGGCCGGGAGCTCCGCGCGCGTCGTGACCTGCCCCCCGCTAGCCGTAAGTTGTTCTACTACCTGGGACAGACTCGTGCGATCATCGGGAAGGTCTTGGGGGAGAAAGGTCCCCAGGTGGGCAGCAACGGTCTTGGCGGTCAGATATACGGTCTCATTACGGCTACCCACCCAGTGATTCTTGCGAAGGTCACGGTCCTGGAGTGCGGTCGCCCCGAACTCGTTCTGATTCCTGAGGCCCTCGGAACGTTCGGAGTAGGTGAGCGCGCTGGCTGCATTACGACCCTTTTTGATCAGATTCGGCCCTTTGTGTGAGGCCCACAGTTGTCCTGGAGCACCCTGCCTCGGGACCCAGTGTGCGCTGCCTGGCCATTTTTGTCGGGTCCCTGGCGGTTCGGGCCCTCCCTGGGATGCGGGGCCTGTCGGGGGTAACCATGGGGCCCGTGTGCCGACAAGCCAGGACAGTGCTCAGTCAGCCAACCAGTATTTTAACCTGAATTCAGGCGGACCGTTTTCCCCTGGTGACCCGTCCTCTGGAGCGAATGGGGTGTTTGCTCCCTCCTCTGCGCTTACCTTGTGCTCTTGGAATACACGTGCTCTCTTCTCGTCGTACTCTACTTCGTCTCCATTGGCAGCTCAGCGGTATAAGCAGATGTATGGTCTTGTTGGCAGGGTCGACGCTGTGTGTTTACAGGAGACTCATGGCGCAGTGTCTGATGTGGAGATGTTACAGCGGGATGACCGTTGTCGCAGTGCAATTGTTCACCATTCGATGATCGATCCGAGGGATGGGGGGCGGCGTGGTCACCGTTATATCGAGTAAGCTGGTTTCGCAGTTCGAATCGATCACTCCGTTCCCCTTGATTGCTGGCCGAGTTCTCGCCTCGCACCTGAGGGGGCGTCGTGGGGACCTTGTGATTGTCAGCGTTCATATGCCGAACACTTCGGATCATGTTGCGATGTATCGCAGGTACTTGTGTGTGATTCAGGCTCCCCTTCCCTTGGCTGCGCACACTATGTGCTTTATTACAGGGGATTGGAACTTCATGGGGGTGGAGGAGGGGCGATTTCGGACTGACGGAACGTGGCTAGCAGGGGATAGGGGACACACTGAAGCATGTCAGTATATTTGTGGGTCTTGGGCAGAGCTTTTCCAACCTGATCCGACGCGGCGAGATGTGTTCCAGGGGGAAGTCCGTGGGGTTGCCCGTCTGGACCGCATCTACACTACTCTCTCTGCCCCCGTCTTGAATGATTTGGCAGTGGCGGCAAATACCCTGGGACATGCCGTGAAGACCTTCGCCTCGTCCGACCATATCCCCGCGGTGGCTACTGCCGCTCTGAGAATGCCATCAGCGTTGCCCACCCAGATTCCTAAGTGGATTTCCAGACATTGTGTTTACCATGAGTTATGTGCCAGCGCTATTATGGAAATCGACCCGGATTTGACCCCTCGGGAGAAATTGGCTCGGGTGAAGGAGATGTTCTGGCAGATGGCCCCTCTGTTCAAGGCTCGGCTTCGGACGAAGCCCCCGAGAGAGAATTGTGAGAAGCTCCACTTCGCTATGATGGCTTTCCGTGGGTGGCGCATGAGCAGGTTCGACCAGTGTGCGCGTGCGATCCGCGCGCATCCTCGGTTGCTTCAGTACGTTGATCCTGATCGTGAGAGATGCTTGGACATAGCTGGCCTGGGTGCGCTGGTGCAGTCTCTAAAGGATGCTTGGTATGAGTCGGAGGAACGGGCGATGGACGAGTGGGAGGATGACGAGAAGTCGAAGGCTAAGGCCATGGCCCGCTTGCAACACCTCCGTCGGGCCTGATTCAAGATGCGTCGGCGGTACGGGCTCTCTGGGATCCTGGACAGTTCTGGGCAGGTGCGCCCTTCTCCGACGGCCTCTGCCGAGGCCCTTCGTGACCGCTGGCAGGCGGTCTTTGCTGCCAAGGAACCTGATCGGACCATATGGCCTGAAATCCTCGCCCATGCCCAGCCGATCCAGGTGGACCCCTCGCATTGGAAGTTGGATGTTGACGGTTTTATTGAGCGAGTCCGATTTAACCATCACTCGGCCCCTGGGGGGGATGGCATTCCGTACGGGTGCTGGAAGGCGGAGGGGGCTGCTGATGTTTTATTCGCTGTTTATGAAGAGATCTATCAGGCGTCTGGGGGCACTGTTTCGGCATGCATGCGTCGAGGAAGGATGTGTTTTCTGCCCGAAGACTTCAAAGACGACGAGAACCCCGCTGCCCTTGTTCGGTCGCTTGATAAGACTCGCCCTCTCACGCTAGCGAATACCGATGCGAAGCTCCTGAGCGACGCTTTCTCCATTGGCCTCCAGCGGGCTGTTCCGACAGTGATCGACCCGATCCAGCGTGGGGGGGTTAGCGCGACGTGGGCTCCTTGACAACGTGGTTGAGATTGAATGGTGGGGTCTTCGTCAGATGCTTACTGGTGGGGGCCGCTCGGGCATTCGGGCATTCTTTTCACGGGCTTTAAGGCTGCGTTCCCCTCTCTGATCGTCTCCTGGATCTTGGCGGTCTTGGAGGCTATGGGTGTTCCTGGCGATATTTGTGGTTTTATCGTGAGTTGTACCGTGACAATGTGGGCGGTTATCAACTTCCCTGGGACTATTGGCATTGCGTTTTCGGTGGAGCGTGGTGTGCGGCAAGGTGATCCTGCTTCAATGCTTCTGTTCGCTTATGCGTTAGACCCAGTATTGCGTTGGATGAGGGCCAAGCTCAATGGCCATGTCCCTCGGAGCAGAGCCTACGCGGATGATCTCTCTTTCTGCCTTCCCAGCATCCTGACTGACCTCCAGCCGACGCTCTCGCTCCTTCGGAAATTGGAACATGCGGTGGGACTCGGGCTGGACATTCCTAAATGTAAGGTATTGGTGATCGGCTCGCTTGATCCTGATAGGTTAGTTGCCCATCTTCGAGCCGGGGGGGGTGAGTGCCACCGCATCGGGTTTGTTCGCGCTGTTTTATACTTGGGATTCTGGCTCGGGCCTGGGGCTTTGGACAGAGTATGGAGCAACACCGTCCCCAAGTTCTGGATGACGGTTCGGAGGCTTCGTGGGTTTGGACTGGGGTTTCCACAGACCATCCGCCTCTTCCACTCGCACTGCATGTCGATGTTGGCATACCAGTTACAACTCTGTCCAGCGACCACGGCTCTTCGGAAAGCGTATAATGAGGCCCTACAGGTGATTGCTGCTGGTCCCCGCCATGCCTTCTCAAGGGAGATGCTTACGGGCATGCGATCGTTGGGGGCCTCTCTAGAATGTTTGGACATCGATTGTCTTTCGAAGGCCATCAAGTTTCGGGTGTTGATGTCTTGCTCCAGTATTGATGCTACCCAGTATGAGATGGAGTCGTTGACGGTTTCCCTGGATGACGATAACTTCATTCCTGCTCGCCTGAGCTGGCCCTGGTGGAAGTCTTCCTGGATCAGGACCACGGTGACTGAAGTAGGCAACTTCTCGATCCCGACCCTG